TATATATAAAAGACATAGCATATTTTAATCAAATAAATAAAAAAATGACCAAGTATGTGTCGGAGTTATTCTTGCCCCACCTACAGGTGAAATGGTAAATGACATCTGTCACCTAGCAACAGCTGCATGCTAAACAGAAACCCAAACACACAGCTCTCAGTGTTGCTGGTATTTTCATGTTTTGTAGAAGTCACTTATTATTTTGTTTTGTAGAAATCATTTATTAAGATGTTTATTGATATTATTTATCTTGTTGAAATGTGTGTTAGTTTTTAAATATTGTTTCTTTATGTAGGCCTGTGAATCTCTAGATGGGGAAAAAAGTCAAAAAAGAGGGCTGAGCCATGGTCGAAAGATGTGGTGAGAAAATCGTGTGATTTTGCAGGGCTTTCCTGAAATATTTTACAACCTTTTAATAATTTACACGTCTTATTCTTTCAGTTCGACCCTCTAGCTATCGAGAGCAAAACAGCAGCGACAGCGACCCATAAATGTGAGAAGAACAGAAAAATTCTGCATGAACGGAATGTAGAAAAGACCCTCACTGTAGGGATGGGCGTATCGATCCGAAGTACTGACGCGAGTATCGAAAGTATCGATACTCAAACAAAAAATATCGAGCTATATATGATGCAGAGGGTGACAAGCTCTTGGTGCGACAGCTGCAAGGGAGCAGCTGTGTATGCGGCATCAGTCTTGACAAACATGGCATCGCAGGAGGAGCTGCGCAGAAGCATTCTGGCCCATGAAGCTATGCCAGCATTGGTGGAGCTGCTACACTCCACTGACAACAACACTCTCATCAGTGCAACGCAGGCTGTGGCTTCACTGGCCTGTGATGCAGAGGCTAGGATGGAGGTAACAGTACACTGCTCAAAAGAGTCCATTTCAAAGGTCTATACAAACGCCACAGCTTATCAGCTAACTGAGTATAGGAAAAACAAACATTTTTTTTATGTGTCAGTGGCTATAAAGAACGTTAATGTATATTTTTGTACATTGCATTATGTGTGGTTTTTGGTGATTGTTTTTTTTTTTTCTTTACATGCAGCTGAGAAATGTTGGAGGCCTGTCAACTTTAGTTCAGTTGCTCAAATCTATCAATGCTGAAATTCGAAGAAATGCTTCCTGGGCAATTAGTGTGTGTGCAAACGATGAAATAACAGCTCTAGAATTGTGTAATGCCGGGTAAGCATGTTTTATGCTGTAATACACTAAATTTCCCTAATTCAAAGTCTATATATGAACATAATATATGAGGCAAGTTTCCATTCATCAAATGGATGCTGTGAGCCTTGGATTCAAAAATATTACTTGCAAGGATTTTTAATAGGCTTGAGATGTTTACAACATTTGCAGAATTAACTGATTAACTGTTAAAGTAAAACCAGTAGATGGTAGTAAATCCCAAGTATAAGATCTCTAGAAGAAAATGAAGCCTATTTTAGGACTAGATTTTGCATTTGTGATGAATTTCTATGACAATTATACACATTTTCCTCCAAACTTTTTATCTTTTACTGCATGTGGATATTTTATATAAATAAGATTATTCTCAGTAGCCATTTCCATTATATTTTAATTGCAGAATTTTTGTATTTAAATACATTTTTTAATAAATCAAAGGCAGAACAACAAACACTACCATGATATAAAAATAAGTTACAGTTTAATCATATAAATTATTTTGTATTGCATTATATGAGGGGGTTGATTGCATTATTCAATCAGGGGATGAAGTTTCATAAAAATAATGCCATAATGCAATACTACTAATAACAGTGTGCTATAATAGGCTTAATTAAAAAAAAAAAAAAGTATTTCTTTTGATTTGGGGGGGAGATATGACCAGGATATGTTCCTGAGAGATTCCTGTTTTGAGAGATTCACTCTATCAGATGTTTTGGCTGGTTAATGGTCTCTTCATTGATTGTTCGGTCATTTAGTTTTGTTGTCATCAATCTTACAGAGCTCTGGAGATACTCCAGGAAATCAACCTGTCACCAAACCGTAACAACAAATTTAGTGAGCTGGCACTACAGAAGCTTCTGGACAGTAATCTATCGTTGAAGTATAGTTTGACAGGACACCTGTCAGCCAGTGATATAACTACTGATGGCTTCTACGACCCTGGACAGGTCCAAATGTGAATGTTTTTCAAGAGCCAAAATAAATCCTCAATCGCAGAGGTTGCACACATCAGTCAATCTCTTTTCTCTTCCTTTCTCTTCTTCCTTCTGCAGATAAGAATGGGTCATCAGGTTCCTACCATGGAGGAAATATCCAAACAAGTTGTCAACCAACATTGAGCCACTATTGCAGTTAATGGGAAACCCCCAGATCAGTATGTTAAGGCCAAGGGTCATGCTTTGGCGATCCAAACCTACTGTTTTAAATTACTGTCACATGAATCTTGCTCAAACATTGTGTCAAACAGCTCCACAAATAGTAGTTTCCTCACTGATTTAGTGTATTCATAATCATTTTAGGGGCACATTTAATCAAATGTACACTAAATGTCTTTTCTCACTAGTATTTAAATCTCTTTTCACATCAGAGAGAAAACAAGATCTTTGTGGAGAATAAAGACTTTCAGAGCCCGCCCTCTTCCACACCATTTGTTCTATAGCAGCACACTTGAATATTAAATACCTCTGTTGCACAACAGAGAGATGTAGACAGATGAATTTCCCCCGGGAAAATTCTTTCGCATGGCTCGGGAATCTGGCCCAGAGCTCCCACAGGAGAAATGGGAGTTCTGCCACTGAGGCCCAAGCAACACAATTCATGCTCAGTTCAAGTTAATTACATGTAAAGATTCTAAATTGCAAACAGAACATTACTTGACCACTTTAAATGTTTGTTTTTTGTGTTCTTTCTGATGCACTAATCTTGGGGTTTGTGGATTCGGTTCTACCATTCAAATTAGTCAAATGCCAAGAGAGCACAAAGGCCATTTCATCCACAGCTCTAGGACATGTTGTGAAGTAGTTTGATGGTTTTGCATAGTGAATGTTAAAGGCATAGTCCAGCCAAAAAAAATAAAAAAAATTAGCTGAAGGTCATCCAAGATGCAGATGAGTTTATTTCTTCATTAGAACAGATTTGGAGAAATTTAGCTTTACATCACTTGCACCAGTGGATCCTCTGCAGTGAATGGGTGCCGTCAGAATGAGAGTCCAAACAGATGATAAAAACATCACAATAATCCACAAGTAATCCACATGAATCCATCGATTAATGCCTTGTGAAAAGTTGTGTTTGTAAGAAAAAATTCCATTCTTAAGGCATTTTAACTTTAAACCATCGCTTCTGGACAAAATACCAATCCATAATCTATAATAACGCTTCCATCCCCTGTTGTCCTCTCACATCAAAATCCACCAACATATTTGTTTAGAACTGTCTTGCACTGTTTTCGCTTGTAAACAGTGCTTGATCTGTGCATATTTCTTTCATGATTCAGATGCAACTTTAGCTGGTTTGAACTTAAAAACATCTCAATGATGAATTTGTTTATTACAAACATGCAGCTTGTGGATTCATTTCATTACTTGTGGATTAATGTGATTTGCACTCTGTTTGGACTCATATTCTTACGGTAAACATTTACTGCAGAGGATCCATTGGTGAGCAAGGGATGTAATGCAATGATCTGTGCATATTTCTTTCATGATTCAGATGCAACTTTAGCTGGTTTGAACTTAAAAACATCTCAATGATGAATTTGTTTATTACAAACATGCAGCTTGTGGATTCATTTCATTACTTGTGGATTAATGTGATTTGCACTCTGTTTGGACTCATATTCTTACGGTAAACATTTACTGCAGAGGATCCATTGGGGAGCAAGGGATGTAATGCAAAATTTCTCCAAATATGATCTGATGAATAAACACACTCATCTACATCTTGGATGGCCTGAGGGTGAGTACATTTTCAGCCAATTTTCATCATTGGATGAACTATTTATTTTTAAGGTTAAAAGGTACTCATTCTTTCTTCCTCTTCTATCAGATTTATTACCAAGGGACCAGATGATCATAAGCAAGATAGTCCAACAGAAACTACTGCCTCATCGAGCAGCAAAACACCAAGGTGTATGTGCGTGAGTTGTTTTTACTTCTGTAAACCATCTTTCTCACTCTCATCTCTCGGAAGTAACAGTAACTAGTAATATATAATGTATTACATTTTGGAAGTAACTTGCCCAACACTGGTTGTGTGTAACAGATTAATTGCTATCCATTTTAGGTTCTTGCCGATCGAATTGGGCTGAGCTGCAGTCTCATAAGAGGAGAATACAACCGTGCCTGGAATGAAATCTTCATTACCGGTCCAAAGAAAACTTGTGGTTACTCTCAGCCTGAATGTTATATCATAGATCTCATGCATCAACCTGGAAACCTCATGAAAAGCAACTCACCAGCAGCTCTAGCATATCGGACCAATTTATGTTAGTCTTATATTTACACACACACACAAACATACATATATATATATATATATATATATATATATA